GATTGACTTTGTTTCAGTGTGCGAATAATTAATAATACATCTTTCTGGACTTTTGTTTTAAAAGGAGGGGGTGGAAGGGGGGGGGGAGAAGCATTGTTGTTGTTGTTTCTTACTATTCCAGTTGCTGCCTGTCCTGTTGTTGACAAAGTGCCGGTTAGAGTTGGAATAAATATGTCAGGCTATTTTCTCTACTGTACTATTGGCACCTTAATAAATCGCCAAAGACCAAGCAACGATTCCTAGAACAGCACACTCACGACTGTAGCGTGTTCCCATAAAATACTCAAACCAAGAGGAAAACCTGTTTTGAATCATAAGTTGAGTCTGCGCCAAACAGAAGTCGACCAAAAGAGGCAAAGTTCTGCTGCACTTAGAATAGGATATCTATAATAGGATAAAACAACTGCCCCGTAATAAGTAGTGGTGTTTGTTCTACTAACTTATAAATATTCTTTTTTTGTTCTACTAACTTATATTCTTTTTTTGTTCTACTAACTTTTAAAAAAATATATGATTCCATGGGTAAATAATTTGTTTATTAATATTCAGTTTGTAACTTCGTTTTGTAATTAAGACCTTTTTTTAAAGACAACGTAATACTATAGTATAGTGCGGTCAAACATTCATGGTGCAACTTATTCTCAAATTATATCTCTTTAACGGGTGAATCAATGTCAACCATACTTTGCTTAGCAGTTTGTATCAATTTGTCTCAACTAAATCATATTTTTCTAGACCAATTGGGGCTAGATTAAAAAACTTTTCTTCATAAATTTATATAAAATACTCGAAAATCTCTGTCACACGTAAAATGGTATTGTTCACAGCACTTCCCGCTTCTCATACACATTTTGATTACGCGTATGGCCTACGTCTCAGCTCATCAAAGACCATTTTTACTTGCAAAACTTGTTACAAAAAACTAATGTTATAGTCAACACATTTTTACACTAATGGCTCTCAAAACATGCGTTCAGTAAGCATAATGTCCCGATTAGAAAAACCTGAAGGACTTGCTATTAAAAGCTATATTGCCCCAGCTGTAAACATTCTAGAATGTGTAGAAACCACCCGCTTGGATTTTTTATGAGTATTTATAGAGGAATTTTCTAGAATACAGCTTGCAGATGTTTACAAAAATGTTGATTTGTTAAGACAAATTGATACAAGTCACTGTGCAAAAATTGGAGAACCCATGTTCGATAGTTGAGGAGATAATTGAAAATAAGTCACACCACGACTTTTTTTTACCGCACTATAATACTGTAGGTCTACATTGTTTTCTTCTGAAATCGTCTTCCCTTAAGTGTTGATAAATGTCTATCAAGACGGACAGACAGACAGACAGACAGACAGACAGACAGACAGACAGACAGACAGGCAGGCAAGCAGGCAAGCAGGCAGGCAGGCAGGCAGGCAGGCAGGCAGGCAGGCAGGCAGACAGGCACACAGACGGACGGACGTACGGACGGATGGATTGACTGATGGATGGATGGATGGATGGATGAATGGATGGATGGATTGATGGATGGATGGATGGGCTGAAGACTGTCACGGTCATCCAACTGTAATTGTTCTTCTTTTTCTGTGCAGATAACTGCCTGTACGGAGACCAAAGGCGGGTCACATTTGGTGGGAGCTCACAAACTTGTAGCCAGTTCCTTGACAGTACTTACGATCATTACTGCCAATCCTCAGAAACAGTCCGTCAACTTTGCTGTGGGACCTGCACAGAACGATACTCAGGAAAACCTGGTAAGATTAGATTTTGCATCAATAACGACAACAACAAAACCAACGACATCAACTACTAAAACAACTGCAACAACAGCAAAACAAGGAGGAGGCAGTGCCATGACAATTGTTTGGGGAGGTCAAAGGGATACTGGACCGCCTCACACGTTTAGAAGAAAAGGACCTTGGCGAGAGTTCATTTCTTGTCCTCGCAGAATAATTCTTTTAGACCCCTTGCTCAGTCGCAACCCCCCCCCCATACATACATAACAACAACAATAACAACAACAATAACAACAACAACAACAACAACAGCAGCAGCAGCAGCAGCAGCAGCAGCAGCAGCAGCAGCAGCAGCAGCAGCAGCAGCAGCAGCAGCAACAACAACAACATATCTAGTACTATTTTCAATTCTGGGAGATATATATATAAAATCAGGCCAAATTCTGATAGTTTTCTGATAGTAAATGAGCCCTTACTAGACGAACTGTTTACAGTCCCTCTACAAAGTGCATATTATGCAAGTTATCAACCAATATTAATGTTATTACTACCCATGTTTCTTTCCTGTAGATTGCCCTTACGGAGACAAGTCGATGAGCTGTGCTCTTTACTCAGCTAACGAAATCTGTGGGCACGCACCAAATGCCGCAATCTGTTGCAAGACCTGCCAGTAAGTCTTTTTTGTTGTTTTCTTTTGTTTATTGTTTTTTGTAAGTGTTTTATAGCGCTCGCAACTACATTAGGTCATATAAGCGCACGGGACACATTAAACATTTTCAGTTGGTAACAAATTTTGAATTTTGCCCGGGTGGCGGCAGAAGCCTACTCTTATCGATTTTGACCTCCAGGGCATCTTTAACGGGCGCAACTTGTACACGAGATTTCCGAAATTTTTCGCCCTTATCCGAGAAGGCATAATATTAGGGGTGTGGCTGAAAGACAGCAGTAAGAAGGAACCTAGGAGAAGCAGTATTAAGGCTGCAGAAAGAATCAGGAGCCCAGATGAGGGGGCAAATGAGGTGAAGGGGTGGGGGCAGAGAGTAAAGTGGACATTGTTAGAGAGCAGGAAAGGAGGTGGAAGGAGAATTTTATGGAGAAGAAAATTTTCCGTCGCTTTCCAGATTCAAACCCGGGACCTATTGAATGAGAGGCAAACACCGTAACCTCTCGACCTCGAGGGCCTCCTCCAGTAAGTCGGTGCATATGGCCCCCCCACCAGCGCTGACATGACAGGAGGTTCTAGACCGGAGAGGTGGTCTCACGATACGTCCTGAACGTGAGACCTTCCAGCCTGCTTGTTGTGGTTCCTGTGGAGTAACAGGAGCGGATTGTACACCTTGGGTCGACTGGGTTGAATATTGTTAGTATTTGCGCTTGGATTCACAAGCGATGAAGACGGAGGTCGCCCACGTGTTGGTGCCTGAGCAACGCGTACTGGTTGCGACAGATCCACAAAAGCTGGTTTGAGTCGGTCGACTGAGATGTGTTCCGCGTAACTACTTAGATCAACAAGAAAGGTTTTGTCATGCCTTTCTAAAACCTTGTACGAACCAGTATACGGGCGCTGTAGGGGTTTTTGGTGAGCGTCGCAGGGGATTAACACGAACTTGGCTGTGTCTAGTGATGAGTAGATGTTGGAGGTAGGTGCACAGTGCAGTGATGTCGCCTTGGCTAGTTGTGACTGCATTTGGGATCTTAAGTTGGCGAGGCTCCGTGACTGGTCGAATGGTGAAGTGTCACTGGTAAAAAATTCGCCCGGTACTCTGAGTGGTTCTCCATAAACTAGCTCAGCGACAGAAATTCCCAGGTCCTCTTTTGGGGCAGTCCTCAAACCGAGCAGTAC